CCCAGTCCATCTACTGCAAGTACAGAGCTGCACATGCTAAAGATTTTTTTTTTTCTTTGGGAGGGTGCACGTGATAAGCAAAGGGCCAAGAATCACTGTCCAGACAGAGGGTCAGGGGTTATGCAGCTTCATAGGACAGTCATAGCAAAATGAAAATTCCTTCTACAGGCTTTAACCACTGCTCAGCTGGACACTGATAGAAGTCACAAGACAGCTCTAACTGCTGATGTGAAAAGGTATTTAGCAGTTTATATTTACTAAAATGATTGCATTTCCATGTTCTGTGTACTGTGGGAGACCAGATATAGTGAATGCAGGGTCCTGGGCTTAGTAACACTTTAACAAAAGATCTGGGAATATACAATCGCTGTACGTAGACCAAGAAGTGACGGTAAAAAGAATTAAAGTATAAATATTATTGGTAAGCTTCCCGGCTTCGCCTTCACCCACTCACATTTAATGAATTTGGCATATAGGTCTGCACCAGTTGTGTTGTTTGTTTCACTGACTATATATGGATGAAAAATTAAGTGACTTGAGTGATAAATATGCATTACAAGGAAGGGACTTGAGGTAAGGACACGGTAAACAATTAAAAAATAATTGCAGTAACCTTTTTATCCATTCTCAATGTTGTATTCTAACTTGTTTATGGCTTTCGTGACTGGTCTGCTTTAAAGCAGTTCTCTAGGAAAAATCAATCTCAAGACCTCTGCAGCCCCATATACATGTCCCTCCTCACCATAATCGCATGTCAAGCTGAAAAAATGCCCCAAATAGCCAAAACTGTGCCTCCTTCACCAATCTCCTGATTGAACAATGGCAGATTAAGTAGCACATTGATGAGGTCTTCCTCTGGTCTCCCTTCCTGTAAGTGTGTTACATTAACAGCACTGTTCAAAGGAAAGCTTGGCTGTGTGAGTCAGAGAGCTATGTTGCCTTCTCCCAGTCTGTGTCAAGCTGTTCAAGGGATTACAGGAAGCTAATATAAAGATTGATTTACGTTCTTCTTGGGTTTGTATATAAATACAATTAATGATTTTCATTTAATAAATAACTTGTGTGTTTTCAGAGTTAAACTTGTTTTTTATGTTTGACTGGAACCTTTTCAGTTTACATTCATCTTTGTCCTATCAACAGGGAATTATACAAAACTGTCAACCCACCTAATCAAAGCTGTGGTAGTCAGACTTATAAGGCTGCTGCACTTTCACACTGAGAGCAACAGTTTGACACTTGTTTTAGTACCTTTATACCAACATACATCGATCAGCCATAATATTATGAACACCCACCAACAGACCTCTGAAGGTTTGCTGTGGTATCTGGCCACCTGTAGCATATCCTTTAAGTCCTGTAAGTTGCAAGGTGGGGCCCTACATGGATCGGACTTGTTTTTCCAGTACAAACCCATAGATGCTTGAGTAGACTAAGATCCAGAGAATCTGGAGGCCAAAACAAAACCTCAAATTCGTTGTGTTCCTCAAACCAGTCTTGAATTCATCCAACCAAGCCACCTTCTTTCATTGTTCCGTGGTCCAGTTCTATTGCTCATGTGCCCACTGTAGGCTCTTTTGGCTGTGGATATGAGTCAGCATGGGCACCATGACAGGTCTGCGGCTACGCAGCAAACTGTGTATAAAAGATGTGTTCTGACACCTATCAGAACCAGCATTAACTTTTTCAGCAATTTGAGTTACAGTAGCCCTTCTATTGGGTCAGACTACACAGGCCAGCCTTCATTCTCCACACCCATCAATGAGCCTTGGACATCTATGACCCTGTCGTCAGTTTTCCTTCCTTGGGACCACTTTTGGTCAAAGCCGACAACTGCAGAACAGGAACATCCCACAAGAGCTGCAGAGTTGCTCTGACGTAGTCATCTACCTGTTACAATTTGTGTCCCTTGTTAAAAGTTGCTCAAATTCTTATGCTTGAAAATTTTTTCTGCATACAAGGCATCATTAACTTCAGGGACAGCATGTTCACTTGCTGCGTAATGTATCCCTCCCACTTTCAGGTGCCGTTGTCAGGAGATAATTAATGTTATTCACTTTACCTGTCAGTGGTCATAATGTTATGGCTAATTGGGGTATGTTTGCATATGTGGTTTTTTACGCACCGAAAAAGTTGGGTGTCCAGGTTAAAATTCCCAAAGATAAAAGATAACAGTGCAGACACAAATCAGTGATTCAGCACAACACACACATACATTTTGCTAATCTTTGATTTTAGATTCCCAGGCTTGCAAAACAAGTTGTAAACGCAATAAAGATGGTAGATATTATTCGTGACTACTGGGAACAAGCCATGATAAAACGCTCACATATTTCTTCATACACAAATAGGGCACAAAGACAATTTTGTAAATGCCCGTGTAATGTTATTTGCCTAGAACAAGGAATGCTAGGAGTTAACACCCTATTTGGCTAAAGCTGTGTTCATATGGATTAAAAATTACAATATATTATTTATGTGGCATGCAAAATGACAGAAAGGGTTCATTATTAAAGAATAAGACATAGACAGACTGTAGCCGCATTTAGTAGAGCTGGTTAGCACTTAGCCTTGCTATAAAAGTCAGTATACTCTCACCTTCCTTAGTGCGAGAAAACTCAACCCAATTTTTGTTTTTCAACAATGGCATATAAGATGCAAGTTAGGCAAGCAATCCATCATAATTATTTATAGCAAATAGAGGGTTTACATGTTTATTTAAGCTATCCTTTCTTAAGGGGAATTTCCCTTAAAGTTATATTACTCCTGGTGACTGTTACTGTACATATGAATCAGAATCACCCTCATTTTACAGAAATATCTACTACTCAGCTCACACTTCACATTATACATGCAGTACAATCCGACCTTTTAAATGGACCACTATGACATACTTACACCAAGTCAGCAGCATAATACCCCAAAGGTTTGTGTTTACTTTGCCCATGCCAGTAAACAAAAATGAAAATAAACCATGTGGCTTTTACTGTTTCTTACAAAAGGATATAGGGGTGAGTTGCAGAGACAGGTCTCTAGCAGGAGGCCCATTTAAATTAAATATGGAAAACTACTATAAATAATTTTAAAAGTAGGGCAAAAATTTCAAAGGCACAAATATAACTTAAGTCGAGTTCACTCAGCAAATGGATAAAAACTAGATTTTACACCTCTATGTAAAGGTGTATGACATTTTAAAGGATTCCTGCATATGAATCAGCGCATGTTGTCCCATAGTTGTGTATAAAAGTCTTAGACAGCCTAAAGTTAGCAATGGACTAGCTCACCAAGCATTTCATTTTAAACCTTATCATTCAATGAAAATGAGCTTTTCAAACGGTTTTTATTCTTTTGCATGTCACTAATGTTATTCCCTGTGTTCAACAAATACCTGTAGCATATAGAATAGAAATGCAGTATGTGTGCTTGTGCCATGCAATAGGAATTTGTAGGAGTAGGGAGGATATCAACAGAAAAAAAAAAAAACAAAAAAAAAACATGCAAGGCCAAAGTTACTAAAATCAATAGCAAAATTTAAAGCCGTCTTTACCCTTACACTTTAAAGTGACACTATCACTACAGGGTCTGCACACACGGGCAGACTGTAAAATAAGAGGCAATATTGTAAGCTCCAGGGAGCAGGGCCCTCCTGACCCTCTTGTATTGAACAGTATTGTTACTGTATTGTCTCCCGTTATATTGTAAAGCGCTGAGCAAACTGTTGGCGCTATATAAATCCTGTATAATAATAATAATAATATCCTTTACCTTTCCTGCAGCCCATGTGTTGAAAAGCTGCCATTTCTGTGCTATCCAGCTGCTGCAAGTAAGCCACACTTCCATGTATGTATAATATTTGCTCCCTGGGTTCATACTGTGGTTCCTTCCACTGGCTAGTAGGTTACTACAGAAACAAACCACTGTGGGGAGCTCACCCAAAGTGTTGAATGAATACAGCTCTGCAGGGAGCAGCAAAACTTTTCCAACACATGGGCATCCAGAAAGGTAAGTATATTGACTCTTCTTTTACAGGCTGCATTATATGTAGAAATGACCCTGTTGGTATTCTTCTTGATCTTGGCATCTTTAAAAATTTTGTGTTTGTACCTCCTTCCTACTATGTCATGCTGACTGACAGCACAGCTTACAAACCACATAAGATTCTATTGCAGCAAAGGAAGTAACATTTTTTTTCTAAGTTCAGACTTGGGTATATGGGAAAATACTAAGAAGTGACCACAATGGAAAAAAAAATAAATGCAAAGATCAACATAGGGCATGTGGACACCATGAAAGCAAATATCTTCCAACCCTAATTGTGGAGTCTAAAAAAATTGGGCTTACACAAACATCTTAATATTCAAATGATCATATATATTCAGACCAATTTATGAAAAAAATGTATAGTGTTGCTTTATTTAGCATAAAACACTCTGACTGAGGGTAACTCTAGGCCCTGTGAATCAGAGTTGAGAGCTGCTCTGGTAAATGGAATGCAAGCAAGATTTTTACAGCATATAACACCAAAACACATACATGTGAATGTAGATCAACCAAATCACAAACCGAGCTCTTTTTATGAATAACTTAAACAACTACAAGACTCTGTTGACAATGTTGTGCTTACATAGGAGGACAATGTGTGTTATTAGTACGAGTTCAGGTAGTTGGCAGTAGGCCTTTCATCTCTGACTCATAGCTCTAACAGTTATCCTCTTTAGTAAAGCTACATAAGGGGCTAAGTATATAACTTTAATGTGGAAACACAAAGAATGATAAAAATGCAAGATCAAATGTTCAGATTCTTGCATAAACCCAGATGTGACTGGTTCTCTTTATTATCTATAAGAATTGTTACTGGAGTCCAAAATATTTTAAAAACATGAAATGTAACACACTTTGGCCTATGTAAGAACTCGGAAACGAAGTACAAATAGATACAAAATGCTTTAACTCAGAGTAAGACTTTGTAGTTTTATTTTTGGTCTCGTCATTAAATATGTTACCTGGAAAATTGAAGCGACTGTCTTTGAGCCCCATGGGAGAAGGGTTTGGTGGTGTAATTGCACTGGGAGGATTTGAGGTCTGAAAAGGTGCTGGAGAAGAAGGTGTAGAAGAAGTAGTTGAAGATGGATTGCTGCTTGAATCCAAGTGATTTATTGCTGGAGGGTGTTCCTGCAAACCAAGATTATGAATGGCATGAAATTTAAAGGAGTTATCAAAAAGTAAAGTAAAAGTCATTAAAAAAATTAGGGACAACAGCTTAGGTCAGTGACACCTAGATGGTGGGATGAAAGTCCCTCAACAATGTATTTTTAATATTTTACCAATTCATACATTTATGAAATGTATCATTACTGGCAAATTAACAAATTTACTATTATCAGAAGAAATACAGATGGAATACTCTAAACAACCATTAACATAATTTAGAAAGTCTGTAAAATTAACTAGGCTGCTCATCAGCAGCCTAAATGATTTTCTTGTTTCATCTTCAACATAACATGTAAAGGCAAAACAAAGCCTTTGCTTTAAAAGCGAAGTTGATCTTTCTGACCATGTGTCATGTTACACCTATATTTAGGGTGTAGCATGAAAAATGGTCCACAGCTCTCAACCTTAAAACCGCCTCACCCCCAACTTACTGAATCTGTGGGGTCCTCTCCCACTGGCTCCTGTCACATTTCAATTCAGTGCAACTGTACCTGGCTCCACTTGCACTGCCATGTCATACATTCATTCATGGAGATCTCTGAATGAACAAAACTACAAGTCTCATCTGCTACTGCGGGACTTAAGCAACAAAAGTGCAGTGACATCACCAAAATTTAATTTGAGATGCTCTCCAGATGTGTAACCTCAGTACAAACCTGCAGCTGGAGGAATAGTCTGCAGAAACCAGAGCAGTGTACCTGCCATGCACTGATCATGGTTGCAGTGCTTTGTAGGCTTCAATGCAAAAAAATAATAAAGGCACATTTTTGCTTTTTGCAATATAGGTGCCTTTTTTAAAGAAGGTGGATTTTTCCTTTAATGCTGCCCTCCCTAGCAGCAAATACTCACTTTTACTTTCCTCCATCGCTCTGTTAAGCTGCCAGCAGCCCTTGGTAAGCTTATGTTTGAGCCTATACAGGCCTGAGGACTTCCTCTCCATCTCCATGTTACATGGGAGGAAGGGAACAGAGTCACACAATCCTTCAAACCCAGATGAACCAGCTTAAGCCGCCTTAAGGCTCTTCTTCCTGTAGTGTCAAATTCCTGGCCCTTTGAGGTGCTTAGTAGTTTCTTCCTGCTGACTCCATCACTACTGTGTCATGGAGCAACATAGGGTCAGCAGAAGGAACAAATGAGAATGGGGAAAAAGGAAAGAACCATTAAGCCCAGCAGAAAATCGACATTTATGGAAGTGATGGTTTCTGAAAACTTTTTTAAGTGGCGATTTCTGCAGTGGGAGAGGTAAGTATCTTCTTTGCAAACAACACTTAATGGCAGTTACATTTATGCAACAGTTGCTAGGAGACCCCAGTGGGGTTCATTTTCCGGTTAACCACTTCTCGTCTGTGCATAAACGGCCGGACGGAAGCAGTGCAGGAGCAGGTTGCCGTTCATAAAACGGCGCCTGCATTTACAGCCTGCGCACACTCCCTGGGAGCGCGCAGCACCGCGATCAAGTGTCCACCGATCGCTGTACGGGACCTCTGTGTGAGGTTCCGATCATGTGATCACTAATTGGCCAATCAGTGATCACATGAATAGTAGTAAGCAAGATGTCACTTCTGACATCATTGCTTACTACTAGTGAAATCTTTGAATTATCACAGAGGTCACATAGTGCAAGGCTATTCACAACAGCCTTGTACCATGTGACAAGCTGTGACCAATCGCAGCTCTCACAGTATTTCTCAATGGCTGCAAGAATGCAGTCAGAGAGAAGGAGAAATTATTTATTTTACAGCCTTTATGGGTGTTAAAGCAATCTGTGTAAAAAAGGAAAAAAAAATCTTCATTACCCCCCACAAGTAGTACAGTGTCACTATGGTGACACTGTACTGCTAGGGTGACAGTATGTTAATAAAAAAACAAACATAAATAATAATATAAAAAAATAAAATAAAAATGTAAAAAATAGTTTTTTAAATTATAATTTTTGATTATAAAATCATTTGGGGTTTTTTTTTACTAAAAAGATAACTGAATAAATTATGGGCAAGATTTATGAAGAAAGATTATTTGCTAAATTTTATAAGAAAAACACTTTTTTTCAAAATTTGGACATTTTCATTTATATAGCAAAAAAAAAAAAAAATCCCAGTGGTGAATAAATACCACCAAAATTAAGTTTTATCTGTCTCAAAAAAATGCAAAAAAAAATTAATATGGGTACAGTGTTGCATGACCACGCAATTGTCATTCAAATTGTGATAGCACTGAAAGCTGAAAATTGGCCTGGACAGGAAAGGGGTAAAAGTGTCCAGACTTGAAGTGCAGGCCATAGACGAAAATTCCTAGATTGTTCGGTTGTCACATCGTAAGGGCTAGTTCACACTAGGTTTGAAAGCAGGTATTTGAGGAGCGTTTTTAACATTCCTCAAACGCCTATGGAAATGAAACTATGAGCAGCACACAGTGCAGTTCACATTAGCAGAACATGAAGCGTTAGCGTCGTGTCCCTTCAAAATTGAAGCCTCATGTTGAGTCAGGAGGAGCTGAAGCCTTTCAATGCCTCCCATTCAAGTCTATGGTGACAATCCTCAAAAGACTGGTAGGCGTTTTGTGGGCTGTTAATACCATTAGAGTTTATTATAGGCATTTGTTGACACTTGTAAAACACATATAAAAACACCTCAAAACTGCGCACAGGGCATTTGGGGACATTTTTAATGCTTGTAAAATGCCCATACTAACGCCTGTGTAACACTAGGGGCGTTTTTGAAGAGTTAGAAATTTAGTCAAGTGTGAACAAGCTCTTACAGTGCCAGCTGCAACATGCAATTTTCTGGCTTCAATCAAAGGTGCCTGATCCACCATACTGGATTTTTCTTTGAAAAAAACTAAACAAAATGATGGCACAATCATATGAGTTATTTTTGTTTTTTAATCAATGGAACATTCGGTTTATAACCCATCTATGGCCTGCCTTAAACCCCAATTATCCGTCTGCCAGATTGAGCACAAGTATAAGACTCATCCATTCAGTAAATCCAGTGCTGTCCTGCAGTAATCGCCTTGGCGAGAAACGTGGAAGCAAGGTGTGCTCTCCTCTCAAAAATGTATCCCCCCACCCCCTATAAATGATTTAAGTTTTCTCAAGGGGGAGGGGATAATAAGCAGAATTAAGAAAACATGTAAATGAGAGTGAAGTTCCACTTTTAATTAAAATGTATTAGAGGTCCTCTGTTCCACAGCCTACAGGCATCAACATTTTACTACAATACTGTAATACCTTTTTAGTGAGAGCTTTGGGGAGAGTCCCAAATAGTGGTTCTGGCGGTCTGTCCACCTGGTTGTTAATATCTGATGGGACAGATTCCGTTCTTCTGATTTTTGTTACTGAAAATAATAGAAAAAAAGACAATTGTTTACTGAACTGTGTCTTACAGCCTTAATATTATAATAGAATAGAGCAATGACACTGAAGTGTAAAGTATCCATACCAACCAACCAGAATCCATCTTACACTAGTCTGACGCAAGAAATGTGCATGGCAATTGGTTAACATGGGTTAATAGCACTTAATATACTGCTGCTTGCACAGTTTAATAAAGTTGTTGATCTTTAAAATGAATTAAGTAGTATTAGGTCAATTAAAATAATGTTTTACTTACAAGGAAGAAATGATATTCTACAAGGAGGAGCTTCTTTTGTACATTTGTTATGGCATTTTAACCTGTAGGTATAAAAATGATACATTTGAAAATCACTGACAAACCTGAGTTTTACTTATTTTTGTATAAACATGGAGAGCAGTACAAAGAACATTATTTTTTTTCATGTTATAGAACTCTTTAATATACAGATAAAAACATCAGCAAAAAGAAAAAAAAAGGTGAGCTGTGTGATACTGGGATAACATGCTGATAGCACCTGCATAAAAACATGTTCTGGCAAGAGCAAATATACATATATAATCCCATATAAAGACTAGAGTAATTTCAACACAATGCAAGAATTCATTTGTTCATACGTTTATAATCCTCATATCTTTGTATACTGACAGACCATCAGTTATACAAATACAGACAAAAGCCTACAAGTACATTCATGAAAACAAAATAATTTTCCAGACCTGCCTTAATGATCAAAAAGCTCCTCTAAATGGAACATACATTTGCCATGAAACAGACGAAGAAAGTGCCATAATAGATTAATTTAGTGTGTATTTGGCAAACACAATAGTGTAAGTAGCAAGGGGAAGGTGTGGGTAGGACTGAAGGCTAGGTTCACATCTATGGAGGTGCGGGACTGCATGTAAATCGCATGCTGTACCGCACCAAAAACACGTTGCTGTTTAGCAAATGTAATGCATGTGGGTGCTATTCTTAATTGGAAATGGCAGCACAGTTTCCAGTGCACGGGGAAACACATAGCATCATATGGTTTCTTTGAGACTGTGGTTTCAGAAAAGCTTCAGAGACCTTTTTCCTGCATTATCCGCAGGTATAGCATCCCATACAAAAGAATGGGCTGCGGCACCCATGCAAATGCAGCCGCAGAGAAACCACATACAGGTGAACCCAGCCTTAGTGTTTCACACTGAAAAAAGAAAAAAACATCTTCTACAGAAGAACTGACATGATTTCTACTGGCAAGGTAAGTGTTACTGACTAAACACAAGATATTACTCTGAGCAGCTGACTCCCAGTGCTGTAAGAGTTAATGGTAGCTAGTGCTACAGTGAAAAGTTGTGCTGCTCACCCACTAGAGAGGTTTACAATGGAAAAATTAGTTTCAGATTAATTTGTTAAGTAAATCGGTTTGCTTCATCATATTCATTATGCTAGATAGATTTGTTTTCAGAATTAGTTTTGTATACTCGGATTCGTTTCATATATTTGTTGTTCCTAATCGATTTTTATTTTCAGAAGTTATTTCAGTAGATTGGCTATTTTTGTTTGAATGTGTTAATTCGTTACTTTGGGAGATTGCTTATGCACTCTGAGTCATCCCAGCTAGTCCAACCCACAAAGAGAAATGAATAGAACGGATTGAATGATATTGACTGCAGTCATGTGCATCCAAAAGAACGAATGGAACAAAATTCATTTTGGATTAATTCGTTATGTTATGATTTGGATATTCAGATGGAGGCACCTCCATCCAACCCCTAACACAATAAGTAAGAATCATCATCTTATTTCACTTTTATACCTTACTGTATTTATTGCAATATGTTTCAATTTCATATGTACAGCATTTGTTATAATAATTAAAAATATTGATGCAAAATAAAAAACGAAATGGATTCGAATCAAACATTAACAAAAGGTCCAAACTATTTTATCATGTCATCGGAATGAAACAAATTAATTTGTTGTTTTGTTAGAATTTATTTTGGATTAGTTAAAATTTGTTACTATTTGATACTATAAATTTTGATTTGTAATTAAACAAATAGCACATGTCTATCGCCCACTACCTTCTGCCCTCTCAGCCATTCACAGACCTTGCATTACTACACTTGCACAATGAATCATGTCCTGTGAAAGGTCAGTGGCGATACTCTCATTCAACTGCTTCTCTTCCATTCACAGAAAGAAATGCATTGTGGGACAACAATTCCAGGTGTTCTGCGAATAACTGAGAGGGCAGGAGGGACAGGAAAGTGACAAAACTTTTCTTTGTAGCAGCCACTGCTCAGGACAGTAACCCTGGGCTGTGAGCAGGCGATGAAAGGAATATTTTTTATAAGTCACAGCCTACAGGTAACTGGACACACATCATTACACATTACCAATGTGTATGGTATCTTGAGAAAAAAAATAAACTTCAGCTTACATATCTATCATGTGTGTAGCAGAAGAAAGAAATAAAAAACAAAAAAAAACTACAAAATTGATTGGACACTTACTAATGATATTTAGCACAGCAAACATCTGCCATATAGCATATACAAATACATCGCAAAAGAAAGTCATTATCTCAGAATGCTTGTATTATGCTGTCATCTGCAATCAACAACACTGGCATTAAATAAACCATGACAGTCAATTGGTATAACTCACCTGCAGTGCTTACATTTCACTCCAAACATCATACTTTTTTGACAAACATGACACATTTGAGATAACCAAGATTTTGTAGAAAATCTGTGAAAAAAAGAAAAGATGGCCAATTCACTAATGTTAAGACTTCATCAGTAACAGTAATTATGCAAAATATTACTACACTGCCTTTAGAGTCTGTGTACACTTACCCACTACATTAACACACTAAATTATTCAGGTGTGTGAGCATTCAGCATAGAACCCATCCACAGTTTATCAGACTTCCAAGAGGCAGTGGAAGGCACAAAGAAAATGTGCAAAGAGCAGTGACCCAAAACAGCCAATTATACACTTGCCTACCTTTGTTAGGTACACCTGCTCAACTACTTGGTAACACAAATTGCTAATCAGCCAATCACATGGCAGCTACTCAATGCATTTAGGCATGTAGACGTAGTGAAGACGATTTGCTGAAGTTCACACCGAGCATCAGAATGTTGAAGAAAGGGGATTTAAGTGACTTTGAACATGGCATGGTTGTTGGTGCCAGATGGGCTGGTCTGAGTATTTCAAAAGCTGCTGATCTACTGGGATTTTCACGCACAACCATCTCTAGGGCTTACAGAGAATGGTCCGAAAAAGAAAAAAAATTATCTAGTGAGTGGCAGTTGTGTGGACGAAAATGCCTTGTTGATGTCAGAGAAGAATAGGCAGACTGGTTGCTGTGGCATTCAGATGGTAGGGTCAGAACTTGGCGTAAACAACATGAAAGGAATGGATCCATCCTGTCTTGTGTCAACGGGTTCAGGCTGGTGGGGTAATGGTGTGGGGGATATTTTTTTGGCACTAGGCAAGGTGTACTTAACCCCATCTCGCCGGCGCCTCCCGGCCCTTTAGGAGTTTCAGAAGCTGGGAGGGGGGTTTAGGGATCATGTGACCGCCGTGACGCATCATCACAGCGGTCACATGATCGGGAAAGGTCCCGATCGAAAGAGTGGACCTTTCTGTGAGTACCGGACATCTGTGCTGGGAGCACGGAGGGTGCGCGTTCTTAGCAAATATGTTTTTTGTTAATTGCATGCAAATGTGTGGCCGCTTGGCGTCTAGGCCCAGACGTCGGGAGGCCGCACATTTGTGTGTGCCGTCGTGAAGAGGTTAATAAAGTGGCCGGTAAGTGTATATTAGTTGACTTCAGATTAGTTGGTGAAACAAAAACAGATTGCATGATATAGATTACTGCCCTGTGCTTGTTACTTTATTAAATAAAGCTACAAGGACAAAATAAAGATGGGCCCAGAAGGGGGTACCAGTGAACAAAATTACTGATTTTTTTAAAAACTAATATCTCTGCACTTTAACAGACATTTAGAGAACATCTAGATTTAGTGCCCAATGTCAACATTTACCCCAACCAATAGCTTATTTCAGCAAAGCCAAAAAAGCAGCTCCAGGTCCACCACTGCTTGGAGATGCCCAGTTTTTTTAGTTACCCCTGGAAAGACTGCTTTTCCCTGAGTTTACAGTCAGGCTTGCCTGTATAATACAATTCACTACAATAAAAATCTGGAACACACTGATGGCTGAAAGAAAGCCTGTCAGGTTTTTCACTAACGATCAGTGCCGTTGGCTATAGCCAGAAACACTGATCAATACATTCTGATGGCAGGGAAGTCTTCCTGCCAGCAGAATACCTTAGCATAGCAGTAGTGATTCCCCCCCATCTACCTCAAATGTGTGGATGGTGGAATCGGATCATTTTTTTTTTTTTTCATTCAACCTGCTGGTACAGTGAAAAAAAAAAAAAAAAAGGACTAATGTAAGGCCAGCTTTGGGTAAGGTCTACAATGTCTCTTTTCTATGCAAATCTAGCCCTGTGTAATTTGAAAGTCTGCTAGAAGAGCACGTTTCGTTTCACCAACATCTTGGACACATTAAAACTAACTAATGTTCAAATAATAACGATAACCAACAATCCATATATTCTACAATCAAACCTGTGCGCCTTACCTATGTGTTACTGAAAGCCCTATATCTCGCCGTACCATCTGTGGTGATCCTTGTGGAGCATCTGTAAGAAAGGATATAGACCAAATTTCCTATTACTTACACTGATAATTTAAATAACAGCCCCAGTATCCAGCCATTTCACTGTGACACTGTATATGGCTGTAAATAACAATCTCAACAACACTAATGTAAAGCGCATGTGTGCCATGTAAGGTGTAGATGTATATTGCATACCTCTATGTATACAGCTATGACTTTTAGGTTTGGTTGAAATGACAATGAAAACGCCTATAATGGAGTAGTTTTAGACAAGATACACAGTCTGACAACAAATATAAGTTATTCAAACTTTGACAGTAATCAGTTTGTATAAATGCAATGACCCTCTCTAGACAACCTCCCCGAAAGCTGAGGTCATGAAATAGTGGAAAAAACATTTAATTCATGATACAAGTGTTTAGTTGATACTATTATAGTATTACTATTGTACCATTGGGCTTGAAATCAGGGCTTTTTTTCAACAGGAATGTGGGGGGGAACGCAGTTTTGGCACCTCAATTACTGAATGTTTGGCTGCTGGGAGATCTATTGCTGTGAGGGGCATTTTGTTGCCAGAGAAATATGTTGTTGCTGGTGGTGGATCTATTGTTGCCAGGGGGGTCAGTTAATGCTCAAAGGGATTTACTGTTCAGGGAGGGGTCTATTGTTGCTAGCTGCTAGGAGGTACTGTATATTACTGCTGGGATGGATCTATTGTTGCAGAGGGTCTGTTGTTGCTGGCTGCAGTGGAAATATTTTATTGCTTTTCAATCAGTAACAAATTCCATACAAATTACTTTGCACCACAAAATGATACTTGGTCCTGTATTCTCTAAAAGGGCTGTACTGCGAGGTGGGCAGGTGGTGGAACCATGAGATGGTGCTTTGAGGTAGGTAGGGGCGGAGACAATGGGTGACTCACAAGTACCTGCACCTATTCCCTGAGAAAAAAAGCCCTGGTAGAAATAATATGGTTTATAGTACCCAATGAATAGTGTGAGGTATGGATATGCAGCCCTGAAGGATACTAGTATATACTGTCAATATCAATACCTCTAACTATTTAATAGGTAGTATAAACATTAATATTTCAATCCCACCTTTTTGGTTTCTGCTACGAACAATCCAATAGTTTAATGTTCAAAATAATTTCCATGGTTCTAGGATTTGAAATGCAAGCAATTAAATTACAACAGTAATAGCTTCTAATTGTGACCCCCTATCTTTACCCGGGATCATTCTTGTGTGCAAACGTGCTTTGTAAGGTGAAACACAGGCATGCACAGTAACAGAAGGTTGCTTGATCCAACAAAAAAAAAAAACAAGACAGAACATTTTATATATATAGATTATTTTATATACAAACACATACACACATATATATATGTGCACACACAAACACTTTTTTATATATACATGCTGAATGTCATTTCACGTCATCCATATATGTAGAATTTGACTGCTTACCAAACCTGCAAAACACAAAAAAGAAAAGGTTTCAAAGATTTTAGGATACAGACAAACATACATTAATTCAAAATCTTACATAAGAGAGTGTATCTTACAATGCACTGTTGTGAAGAACTGGTCATTTTCCCCTCAACTTTCCTAATGGTATAAAAAATTGTATGCCCAAATGGCACTCCTAATCTGCTATAGGGCCCCTGCCCTAACATAATGACATATCTTTAGCAAGAACCGGGTATTGGTGACAGGCCGGCCCAGTTTTTTACATGCCGATTTTTACTTATTTCCCCTCACATCCCTTTAAGCTGGCCATAGATGGTTCAGCAGGAACCAGCCAAGATCTTATCCATCTATGGGCAGGCTGGTTGGTTGTACCCAAATAGGTGCATTGGTTGACTTGGGTACATCCAGCCTACTGGATTTTTTACATGCAGCGGCTACAACTGTTAGCAGCAATTATTGTGTTCGGCTGTTAAGGCTCCCTACCGGCAGAATACAACAGTACAACAGCGATACGGGAGGGATTCTCTCATCAACACTGACTGCGTTGATGGGGGAATCAAATGATTTTCTTTCCTGCAATCTATGGCTTGCTTTAAAAAAAATGTCTATTTTTCCTATTACCTTCCACATATTGTTTATTGATAAGATTCTATGATACTGTGTATGTGTCAGAGACTGTGATTCAGAAACATGAATGTTAAATAGGCTTCTATGCTTTTAAATGTATATCTGTGTTTTTTATAAGTAAAATTGAATAAACATTTGGTAATTTTTATACTTATGTGGTACTGAATGACCATAATAAAAATCCCAGCTCTTTGACCTATTTTCTCTCTTGTTTCATGTATCCCTATGGGATGTGGCGTTTTTTAATCCTTCTATGACTATACACTGCTAATATGTTTATTAGTCTGAAATCTTTCTTCTACATGTCCTTCTGAAATTAGTGAGAGAAATTTGTGAAATTAAACTAGTAGACGGTTTTATGACCAAGAAAGATTACAGCAAGCACCTGATAAATCAGACAGGTTAAAAAGCTTTAAATGTTTCAAATAGCTGACGTGCACTTTAAGTGAGTGCCCTTAGAAAGGAGTTTAAGAACAGATGGAAACACTGAAAATTAGGCAGGTTTCTTATCACTGGCCTAAATATTAAACCAACAGGAAACCAAAAACTACAGTGAGGTTGTCTCATGCAGCACAGGTCTTTTTAGGCTCCATGCACACTGGGCGTTTTAATAAAGCTGGTAACCTTAAGCTGTTTAAAGTCACGTTAAAAACATGAGTTTTTTCAGCATTTTTGCATTAGCTTTTAGCAGCGTTTTTTGCGCATTTGTGTTTTTTTTTTTTTACCAAAAGAATAAAATGTATTTTTTGCTAAAAAGTCCAAAAACGCTGGTTTGTCGTGTTTTTTCAGCCATTGAGCGTTTTTACAGCTAAAAAAACTCATCTAGAAACCCACTAGTCCTGGGTTTTTTTCCAGCCAAAAAACATCCCTGCCACAAAATGCTGATTAGTCTATGTGTGCATGGACACATAGGATAGCATGCTGGGAAGTTTACTGGCTATAGAAAAAAACGCCAAAAGCAGCAGCTGTAAAAACGTCAAGTGTACATGAGGACTTAATGATCATTAAACTGCAGCATTTCCTAATGCATATGAACTGAAGTATAAAAGCATTTAGTGTGATGCTTTGCTAAAACCTTTGTTGTGCTAATAATCACATTTGACAGGTTACACTGTTTGAGTACAATCAAAAATTATAAAATTATTCTACTACCCATGTACCGGAAACTTTAAGATACCAGTTTCTGAGAAGAACCTTTTCCATGCTAGCTAGTGCTGTCAACTTGAAGGCATAAACCATATTGGACACAGACATAATATATACTTTACATGGTTTAAATAGATAAATTGTAGATTTATTTAATTTCATACTGATAAAGCAATAGCATGCAGCAACCACAGCAAAACATCTGCCCACTCCAACCTACTGTTTGGCAGCCTTGGAATACTACATATTCTATGTGCTATATTCATAAATCTTTATATATTTTAATTAGTAACTTAAAGACTGACGCAACCTTCTACTGGCAGAAGACAAATGATTTTATCTCCAGCTTTTAGATACACTAGTCATCTAAGGATGATCTAGAACCCTGATGCCTGCAACCCTTTGCTGCTTATTGTGTGATCCTCAGAGACCCTGTAGACCAGGGGTGGGCAAACTTTTTGACTTGAGGGCCGCAATGGGTTCATATATTGGACCCGGGGGCCGGACCAAGAGTAGATGAATGATGTATATGTGTCATCCATAGTAAGTATAGTAATATTCCCCCATAGTAAGCATAGTAATTAATCCCCCATATAGTAATTCATCCCCCATAGTAATTCATTCCCCCATATAGTAATTCATCCCCCATAGTAATTCATCCCCCATATAGTAATTCATCCCCCATAGTAATTAATCCCCCATATAGTAATTCATCCCCCATAGTAATTCATCCCCCATATAGTAATTCATCCCCCATAGTAATTCATCCCCCATATAGTAATTCATCCCCCATAGTAATTAATCCCCCATAGTAATTCATCCCCCATATAGTAATTCATCCCCCATAGTAATTCATCCCCCATAGTAATTCATCCCCCATATAGTAATTCATCCCCCATAGTAATTCATCCCCCATATAGTAATTCATCCCCCATATAGTAATTCATCCCCCCTATAGTAATTCATTCCCCATATTAAGTCCCCAAGTCCCCCCTGTGTCAATTCACTTACCTTTGCTCCGCGCGTTCCTCTCGCCGTGTTTCCCGCGCCGTTCCGGTCTTCAGGGTGGACTGTGAGAGGAGCCTAGCTCCCCTCACGTTCGTCACGCTGCCCCGCCTACACACATTCTGACAGCCGATGTTTGCCACGCTCCGCGGGCCGGATTAAAAGGTCCGCCGGGCCGTATACGGCCCGCGGGCCGTAGTTTGCCCATTGCTGCTGTAGACAGTATTCTGCTTTATGTTCCCTACGTGTTTGCTCAGGTCAGTAAAGAAGTTATATTCTTTAGACTGGGTTCTAGTAAAATTGCTTGTTTTATTTCTTTTCCTATATCTTATTCTTTTTTGTGCTTCCCATCCCTTTGAACGGTTTATGTTTTTTTCCCCTATGATGTTTTAATATGGATCTTCCTTTAATAAATATCAAATGTGGCAGAAATATTTTTTAAAGGGGCTGTTGAGAGGATAAACTTGGAAGCATGAATTTGTAAAGGAGTTGTAATAGCAGTGATCTCGAAGGCTCATTCAATATGTCTCCAGTCTATTGCTTCCCAGTCTCCAACAAATCCTATAACATATTTGCAGTCTTTGAAAATCACTTGTAGCATATCCATAGTCTTTAATCGCCTCCCGTTTCACATCTGCAATGTCTGACAGTTTCCTGCAGCAATGCATTCACTGCATGTTATGTGTGGCCCTTTGGTGATGTCAGGGGCCACACTCAAAGCCCTCACCATCAAAAAGGTTAACCACCACCGATCTAGAATTTGGTAAGCTCTAGAGGTCCTATGGGTTCCAAACTTAGTAGCTCTTTATAAACACCCATACCAAGGTCAACAGTACAATAAGGTGCCTAGAAATCCAGACATGATCCAACATTACAAAGACTCACAAATAAATCTCCACTCATGAATGGTCTATCTACTGTCTTTGCTATCCTCAGTATTCAATAACCATCAGCTTCAATCGCCATCTCCAACTAACATTAAAGTTAGTGTTTCTCATACTCACATATTCAACCCAGCTGCTAGCATAAAAAGAACAGAACCATAAAGAAGCACGTGAAATAACTTGTAGGCAGGTGCAGTCTGTTTTCTCCACTGTAGGTTGCGCTCGACCTACGTAGTACCATAGCCTGAAGAAGTCCAAGGAAAACAAGTTTTCGCTATTGTTTCCTGGGTCAGTGGAGCAGCGCTCCAGTTGGCTACGCTGCGGCCATGTGATCCTTGGTGGCCATCTTGGGTCAACGGGGTCTATTTAAATGCCTGCCCCCGGGTTTTGGCGCACTTTGTGCGAGTTGCTAGTGTATGGAGAGACCCTACATGTCAGGGACAGTAACTAGCGGTAGGGACAGTTTTCTGATGAGGAGGGAAAGGCTAGGTATGCGCTAACCAGACAGAAGCCTCCCATCTTGGGACCGGACTGGCCAGGCCACACTTCATCCTCTAAACAGACGTTGTCGGCACCTTTCCTCAGCTGCATCTGTGACTACATTGAACTGTGAGTTATTTCCCTAAACTGCATGTTAACTAACACATTCACAGAATCTGGATAGCAGAAGCAGCTGTAGCATTTGACTTACTGTGCCCTGGAAGGGTACGTTTTTGACAACAAATTTAATGTGTTTGCTAGTTTAAATTTTTTCATGCTACCAACAGGTTCCCTTAATTTGTGCAGTTCTCTATAGTGTCTTGGTTTTTTGTACGGTTTATTTGAAATATGTAATTTTCTTTATTATCTGAGGAAACAGCTTCATAAAATGTTGTTATATTATATGTCCAGTGTAATAATAACAATAGTCTGATCAAATCAACAAAATATTTCAACTCAGAAATATCATTTAAACCTACTTTAAGGGGGGTACTTCATCTATTCTGTTTCCAAGCTGAGATTCATGAGACTTGCTCCTTTTGAGTGTTGAAAAATTAGGCAGCAGCTGCTGAAAGACTTTGCGGCTAGGTGGAGGAGGTGTCCGAGGAGGCTTTAACTTCATTTGCCTCTTTGACATAGGTGTGGTGGGTGGAGTTATTGTAATTCCATGAGGAGTCCTCAATGTTAACCTATTGCTTGGTGTGGAAGAAGGGAAAGGATCCTGGAAGCTCTCAGGACAAATATAAGGTCCATGGGGTTCAGAAACAGGGATGGCGGACACGGATATCGAACGAGGCTGATGGCTGTTGGCCTTTGGAAATGGAGTGTTTAAAATCCAAACTGCCCCCACCGGGGATGAGAGGTCAGAAGGAAGTTGGGATGAACTTTCTTTGCGGTTTTCATGAGGATTCCATAATGTTTCCTTCATATCACCACCTAAACAAATAAAAATGACAGATAAATTATTTCATAAATGCTAGAAGAGTAAATTAACTCATACAGAGTGTATAACATTGGCGTTACACTTTAGAGAATTGCATGCTCAGCAGTATAGTTGGGATTTGCATGGAAATAGGAAGACAGACCTTGGATTTCTCTAATGTATGCTATATTAGAGGTTAGAGAGGAAGAGAATAACATCTACTCAACAGCATGTTAGGTGTATCATATAATGTATCATAAAAAAAAAGTGTAATTAACATACAAGTATCCCCTTCACCCTCCCCCCTGCACCACTGACCTAAAGTTACCCTCCACAGGTCTACAGTCATGTGAAAACATGAGTACACCCCATGAAAATGGTTGACTTTTTCAACATATTTGAACAGGCAAACAATAGATCTTGGCAATAATGGTGATATACTTGAATATATGACACATAAAATTGACCTGGTGAATTCTAACAAAAATGCACATTTACCATAAGGAAACATTAAGTACACACCTGCATTTACCACTACTTTGTACTCTTACTACTTGTCCTCTCTGTGGCATGGATGTCATTCCACTTCCTCAAACTCAATCTTTCCAAAACTGAGCTCTTAGTATTCCCCCCAGCCCGTGCCCCCTCCACTGACTTCTCCATCAAGACCAATAACACAATCATCATTCCCTCCCCTCATGCCAGGGTACTAGGTGTAATCCTAGACTCCCACCTGTCCTTTCACCCCCAAATCCAATCACTGTCCAAATCTTGTAGACTTCAACTCCGCAACATCTCCAAGATAAACCCATTCCTAACCTTGGAAACCACTAAGCAAACATTCCACGGACTACCAGCACAAGGGGGCAAAGATCCACTGACCACCAGCATACTAAACTACTCGTTCACTCCCTTGTTATATCTCGCCTTGACTATTGCAACTCCCTTCTCATTGGCCTACCTAATCGCAGGCTATCCCCTCTTCAGTCTATCATGAATGCTGCTGCCAGACTTATCCACCTTACTAACCGTTCTGTATCTGCCACCCCTCTCTGCCAATCCCTCCACTGGCTTCCATTGCCCAACGGATAAAATTCAAAACATTAACAATAACATATAAAGCCATTTATAACTCTGCCCCAAATTACATCAACGATCTTGTCTCTAAATATCACCCAAACCGTACTCTCCGCTCCTTGCAAGACCTCCTACTCTCTAGCTCCCTTGTCTCCTCCTCCCATGCTCATCTTCAGGACTTTTCCAGAGCTTCCCCCATCCTCTGGAACTTTCTACCCCAATTTATCAGACTATTGCCTACTCTGCTCACTTTTAGGAGATCTCTGAAAACCTATCTCTTCAGGGAAGCCTATCCTGCCCTCAGCTAATAATGGAATCTTCTACTCTTCCAACCAGTCCATCCCCCACAGTTACTACCTTTTGTACCACTAGCCCCTCCCTCCTAGATTGTAAGCTCCAAGGAGCAGGGCCCTCCTTTCCCTCTTGTATTGAACTGTATTGTTGCTGTATTGTCTCCCGTTATATTGTAAAGCGCTGAGCAAACTGTTGGCTATATAAATCCTGTATAATAATAACTTAAAATCTATTAAATTAGAAACCGGTGTTCTAAATTAGGTGCCAAGGAATTAGAACCTTCTTAGGTAGTATGCAGTTGGAACCTGTTTTCATTAAACCTCAGACATTTGGGTCTGGTGTTCTCTTTGCTATTGACATGCATCATGCCAAGATAAATTAGCTCTCTACTGCCCTCAGAAAAATTATATACAGTGGGGCAAAAAAGTATTTAGTCAGCCACCAATTGTGCAAGTTCTCCCACTTAAAAAGATGAGAGAGGCCTGTAATTGGCATCATAGGTAGACCTCAACTATGAGAGACAAAATGAGAAAAAAAATCCAGACAATCACATTGGCTGATTTGGAAAGAATTTATTTGCAAACTATGGTGGAAAATAAGTATTTGGTCACCTACAAACAAGCAAGATTTCTGGCTCTCACAGACCTGCACCTGCTTCTTTAAGAGGCTCCTCTGTCCTGCACTCATTACCTGTATCAATGGCACCTGTTTGAACTTGTTAGCAGTATAAAAGACACCTATCCACAACCTCAAACAGTCACACTCCAAACTCCACTATGGTGAAGATCAAAGAGCTGTCGAAGGACACCAGAAACAAAATTGTAGACCTGCACCAGGCTGGGAAGACTGAATCTGCAATAGGCCAGCAGCTTGGTGTGAACAAATCACTGTGGGAGCAATAATTAGAAAATGGAAGACATACAAGACCACTGATAATCTCCCTCGATCTGGGGCTCCACGCAAGATCTCACCCCGTGGGGTCAAAATGATCACAAGAACGGTGAGCAAAAATCCCAGGACCACACGGGGGGACCTAGTGAATGACCTGCAGAGAGCTGGGACCAACGTAACAAAGGCTACCATCAGTAACACACTACGCCGCCAGGGACTCAGATCCTGCAGTGCCAGACGTGTCCCCCTGCTTAAGCCAGTACATCTCCGGGCCCATCTGAAGTTTGCTAAAGAGCATTTGGATGATCCAGAAGAGGATTTGGAGAATGTCATATGGTCAGATGAAACCAAAATTGAACTGTTTGGTAGAAACACAACTCGCCGTGTTTGGAGGAGAGAGAATGCTGAGTTGCATCCAAAGAACACCATACCTACTGTGAAGCATGGGGGTGGTAACATCATGCTTTGGGGCTGTTTCTCCGCAAAAGGGACCAGGACGACTGATCCATTTACAGGACAGAATGAATGGGGCCATGTACCGTGAGATTTTGAGTACAAACCTCCTTCCATCAGCAAGGGCATTGAAGATGAAACGTGGCTGGGTCTTCCAACATGACAATGATCCCAAACACACCGCCCGGGCAACGAAGGAGTGGCTTCGTGAGAAGCATTTCAAGGTCCTGGAGTGGCCTAGCCAGTCTCCAGATCTCAACCCCATAGAAAATCTTTGGAGGGAGTTGAAAGTCCATGTTGCCCAACGACAGCCACCAAAACATCACTGCTCTAGAGGAGATCTGCATGAGGGAATGGGCCAACATACCAGCAACAGTGTGTGCCAACCTTGTGAAGACTTACAGGAAACGTTTGACCTCTGTCATTGCCAACAAAGGATATATACAAAGTATTGAGATGAACTTTTGATATTGACCAAATACTTATTTTCCACCATAATTTGCAAATAAATTCTTTCCAAATCAGCCAATGTGATTGTCTGGATTTTTTTTCTCATTTTGTCTCTCATAGTTGAGGTCTACCTATGATGCCAATTACAGGCCTCTCTCATCTTTTTAAGTGGGAGAACTTGCACAATTGGTGGCTGACTAAATACATTTTTTGCCCCACTGTATGCCTATGGGTCTAGCAATGGATTTGAAAAGATCAACAAATGATTTGAAATAATTAATTTAACTGCAAAGAAATAATCTTCAAGTAGCAAAGATTTGAAATAATTAGAGTGGTTGTAAACCTTTACCTAATTAAGTGATTGGGCTCAGGTGATACAGAGATGAAACAAATCCTACTACATAAGTTGTACCTGTTTATGTGAGGACTTCTCTTCTCTAACTCAATTCAAATCCATGATTTATAAAGCTTGTCTGAGCTTGGCAGAGAGCTGAAATTACACACTGCAGAGCTCAGTAAGGACAGCTCTGAAAGCTGATGGAAGGGAACGGACACACTTCCCTTCACACAGGAACAGAGCTAAGGCTGTCAATCACAGGCTGTGCTGGAGATACCCCCTTCGTAACCATTTTTCTCTTGGTGTCAGGAAAACTTGACAGAGCCAACTCATGCAGATAACAGAGGAATGGGGCAGAAGACAGAAATTACTCTTAATGCTCTAGAATGACACAAAAATACACTATGGAGAGGGATATGCTTCACTCATATTTAATGTCTAAGGTTTACAACCACTTTAATAAAGAAACCACAAGTATTGCTGGTGTGCAGTCATCCATTCATTCAGGGGCTATGCATGGTTGTGTAAATGTTATGGTTTGGAGTTGCCTTGCTGCTTCAGAGCTTGGGAATCTCACAGTCATCAAGCCAACTATATGTCATATATCATATTAAAGTATGCTTGATGAGAATATGAGGTCATCAGTCCAAAAGTTGAACTGTAAATGAGTCTTTCAGCAGGATAATAATCCAAAGCACACTAGCAATTCCACCATAGAATGGCTCTAAAGAAAGAAATAGAAGGTTATGGACTGCCCTATTCAAAGCCCTGATTTAATTCCCTTTGTGCATGGGGATGGTGAAACAGGCAATTCATGCAAGGATACCCCCAAACATTTTGCAACTTAAGGATATTTTCATGGAGGGTCTAAAAATGTTAGTGCATTTGGGCAATACCAGCTTTTGATACCAAAGGTTTGTTTAGCTTTTTCCCAGTACATCTTTACTTCTATTGATATTTTTGTGTAATAAATGACTGAAAGGGCAATTTTGTCTTGTGCCCTTATTGAAGTCACCACAATGATTGAATAATTATATATTTACCTGTTTAAATATGTTGAAAAAGTACTGGTCCCCTACTCCCAGTACAGAATTGGGGACCGTGCACCTTTGGGGAGCAGGAACCTGATTTTGACAGGTACCCCTCCCACCGCCTAGGAAGATCTCCCCCCTGCAGTCTTCTGGGACACATGACAGGTCCCAGAAGACTACGGGACCATTCACAATGTGCAGCGCTGCTTGCGCATGCGTAGTGGGCACCCAGCTGTAAAGGTGCAAGCTGTCACAGCCAGGTGCCCCCACTTAAGATGTTTGCTAAGGGGAGAAAGAATGGCCAATAAAACCAGCTGGTGTGAACACACAGCTGGATCAAGGGACAGGTGAGTGGCTGTTTTTTAAAAGGAGACTGGAGCTCCACTTTAAAGAATTATTAAACCAAAAATCTAATGTTTTGCAGCTTACCAATCATTAGATGTGGTGGCTGCATGAATTTCTTTTTCCCCTGTCTTCACCT